GCATCGAGTATACACACGCAGGACGGTTCGTCGAACCGAGAACACCGTCGAAAAGAAGCGGCCACCCCAGTTGGCTAACCTGGCCTCGATACACGAGCCCCCACGAAAACTTTTATGCGAGATACGTATCTGCGAGGGTGGAACTTATTTACCTGGTCCACACAGAATTCCTGGGAGACTGCAAAGGGGTAGTTCCATGCATTTTAGAGGCGGCCGAGACACGCTGAACAAACTTCCAACGAAGCTTGTTGCCGCGAGAGAGCGCCTCCCACGCCATTGTGCCTGGTCGATGCTGCTCCCGCGTAAATTCAATTTATCAGCCCGTTAAAAATATTTCGTCGCCATTTTCCTACTCGTATTTACTATTTCTATCGTTCCCCGATTTCTCTCTTCTTTATCTTTCATTTCCGTTGCCTTTTTACTTATTTACATTTCTTTTCCTTTTTTAATAACGTTGGGGTTGGGGAAAAATACTTCCTTTCTTAATTTTTCTTTTGTTTACCTTTCTTAACGAGTTTGGGGTAAGAGAAAAATACTTTATTTCCTTCTTTATTTTCTTACATTTTCATTCGTTTATTTTCTCTTGTATTTTTGTTATTTTGGGGTTAAAGATGGATGCTTTTCCTTCCTTGTTTCGTTTCTTATTTTTTCTTTCTGTTTATGATTTTGGGGTGAGAGATAAATACTTCTTCTTTTCTACTTTATCTCTTTTAAAATTTTCGTTTATTTATTTGATTTGTGGAGATCTTTTTACGATATTAGCTTTGAAGGAAAGTCTCGTCATAATGTAACGAATTTTAAGGTAGAGTATCGGTGTTACGTCGAGGGTTACACACGGTGTGGCGACTTGAAAAATTGATGCATCGTGATGGGGTACGAGCGTTGTTTATCGCGCTGTTAAGAGAAGAAAGAGAAACATTTTGTCTGTCCATGGGTGATTTTAAAACTGGAAAAGTAGCGTTGGAGGGGAGGTGTTCAATACTTATTGTTTACTCTGTTGAGATTTATGAAGGTAAATTAGTACCAGGATTGAGAAAAATTTGAATTTAGAAATTTAATAGGAATATTCTACCGATACTTCAATAATTCATGTTCGTTTATAATTAATGCACTATAGAATTTTCGACTACGTGACGGACGCATTTATTTAATAAATATATATAATTTATTTGAAGTTTATTTTGTTAATAAATAAATACATGTATATACTTGCATAGTATAACTATTGTTATACTGTATAATATATGTATGATATAATACACTATTATTATACTATATTATTATATATAAAAGTATATAATTTATGCAAATGAATGCACGAGATTGTACAAGAAGTATGCAAATTTTAATAATCTGTGCTGTACGAATTCACCGTAAATAATAATAATATAATTATTAAACTTTCTCTACGAAAGTTCAATTTAACGAAACGTCCGTCATTCGCCCAACTTTCTCCACCCCCTCGTTTAATTATTAAACGAAAAAAAGAAAAACTCGTTGCTTTAACAATGCATACTATAGCGATAACAATTAATACCCGCGCGCATTAAAATTTAATTCTGTCAAATTTCAGCGACACCCTCGTCTTTCCAGATTAAACACTCTGTCACTCGAACAGCCTCTCCCACGAGCCCTTCATTTGCTTGTTAAATTAAGAGGACGTGATATATTCCAGGAAAACTTTTCTGCCCGAGAAAGCGACTGAAATCTCCTTTCGAGAGAGCAGACAAATTTAATCGAAACGAAAAAAGAGGGAACGAGAAACGGCGATAAAATACGCGTCTTCGCATGCAATTTTGCAATATTGCACAAGTAACCATGCCCATTACATTTTTCTCGTTAATCTAATCTAATCCACATGTCTTTCCTCCTGATTGGATTAAGACGACGCGAAAATGAAATTCATCTTTGCGATCGAGATTAGGTCGATAAGGAAGATACATAAATACCACGTGACTCATAGAATTATCCATGTTTCCGGGAAATTAGTAGGTTCGAGGACACTCGAAATTCCATTAGATTCCCCGATGTTTACATTTTGTCAATGAACAAACGAACACGATAAGTATCTTCGAGTTGGATAAGTGTTGGGAGAATTTTCGCGAATTGTTTCGCAATCCAGATAAGCCTATTATCGAACACTGTCGTTCTTATCTGTTTCTAATAAGGGGCGAAGAATTCAAAACGATTCCCAGAATGTTTTTTAAATCTCTTCTGTGATCGGTCACCTTATCGTCAGAAAGAAATGGCAATTAAAAAATTTTCTGCCATAATCGACGGATTTTTCTTTCGAAATGGTAAATGAGAATTATGTTAATTAGCACGTAGAATTATTTTATTTCGTTATTCGCGTCGTTTGAAAGTTTAACGAGTTAATTAACATCGATGTTTAGAATTTGATTAAATGGCGACTGGAGGTCGCCTCTCGAGTGCAAAGGGTTAAAATGACATCGATATCTGCAGCGCGTGAAAAAAAGAAGCGTCGATCACTTTTTATCTGCTTACGTTTACACGCCTTTTATCGCTTTTCGAAAATAAAAACGCACGAGATCTATGGAATATTCAAGAGTTCGATATCACCCGCAATTCCGCCACATTTGCTCGCGATTTACAAATCATTTGCGCTATATCACACTCCTCTTTCGATACAATAATCATCTCCATCCTTTTTCTTAAAATAAACCTGTATTTACAGTATTTCACTCATTTTGTTATTCGACGAGGATTTTAATTCGCTTCCAGAAAATTATTATTTCTCTAAATTCGTTGATCGATGTGGAAATTGTTAAAGGACCAATGCTGGTCTGAATTTTTCAGCACGAGCCTGACGAAGGAGTTCCTAACGGAAGAAAGTGACTCGAGCGGTAACGAAGACGTGTGCGTCTTTTTCTTAAATTTTCTTTTCCAAGGAAACTCATTTTTATGGCAAAAAAGGGCCACTGCCATCCCCTTCCCCCCGAGACCCCGAAAGAAGCCCGGGGAAACTTTCGTCAACGCGAGCGTGCCATTTATCTCCTAATTCCTCGTCCCACGGAAAGCCATTTTTGCGATGAGAGAAAATGCCGGTCGTTCGTTTCCACGTTCCTCGGAGGCCTTATATTTCTCTTCGATGAAATTACGTCACTAATTCAACGTCTCCCTTCTAACGAGCAGTGAAAAATTATTCATCCGTTCGACGACTGACTCCCCGAATTTATGCATATTCACGCCATTCTTTCGGATGAGAGTGTCCCTTCGAAATTTTTTCTCACCCAAGTTAGCATTGTTCGTCCATTTTCGCACGAAATTGGTTTGGACGGTAATTTTAATCGAATACGCCTTAGATCCACGAATTCTTTTTTAATTTAAATGCTTCGGGATTCGGGGACGTGCTTGGATTTTAATTTCCTTTAAGGTCTGTCGATTATCAGGTCTGTTATCTTCGCTGAAATTTCTTTGTACAGTGAAACGTATCGTTTAAGATCGATTATAATAATAATAAGAACGGATAATTTCGAAGCGCGTTGAACGTAGAGATTTTGATGTAGAGATAGGTTATGTCAGTTAGCCGAGGACGGAACTGCGCCTGCGCGGGATAACGGAAAATTATATAAAAATCGTCTTGCAGCCTTGCATTGTATGATTTTGCAATGAGATACAATCTGTTTCGTAATTTCTTCTAAAATGTATTTTGATATTAGATCGTATCTCTCTGCTCTTCTCTAACAAAAGAAAATCAGTCTCTGAAGATGTCCTTTGTCTAGCAGGCACTTTGCTATAGTATATTTAGTTATGTGACACGAAAAATATCGTCTAATGCGTAGAATTCTTCTACTTCTTATTTCCAACGAAAGAAAGTCCGTAGTAGAAGACGTTCCCTAATTTTCAGTGATCTTCATACACGTTTCCTGGATTGCACGTGCTTCGCTATAGTGTAATTTACCATGGAAGATGGAGAACGTTGTCTAATGTATCGCTGTATATCATACTTCTACTTCTTCCTAACAAAAGAAAGCCTGTCCCGGAAGATGTTCTTCAACTCCCAAGAAACTTTAACTCGCAAACACTTGTTGGATTATGCGTACTTTGCTACAGTGTATTACGCTATGGTACACGAAAGAGGTTGTTCAACGTAATTTTATGTAACATCCTTCCGCTGCTTCCTCCTAACAAAACAGTCTGTTCCCGAAGATGCATTCCATCCTTTAGTAATCCTCGTGGACATTTATTGGGATACACGTATACACCTCATGCTACAGTGCATTATAGCGGTATACGGTGTGTTAATTTTCAATGATCCTCGCTGATGTTTGTCGAACTGAACCTATTTTGCTACAGTGTACTTCGTCCTGTGACACGAACGAAATTCATCGATCTTTTGCCTATTCTTGCTGACAAAGGAACTTCTATATCTAGAACTGTATAACGATCTCGCAGGCACTTGTTAGATTACGCGAAATTTGCTATAGTATACTTCGCTGTGGAGGAAAAATGTAGAAATGAAATGCTACGCGTGTACTCTCTCGATCAAAATTAATATCCATCTCTGGATCTACACTCTAACTTTCGGCGATTCTCACAGACACTTATTGGATCACGCGAAATTTGCTATAGTATATTTCGCCATAGAGGAAAAATATCGTCAAAACGAGGTGCTACGTCGCTACGTGAGTACTCTCCCGATCAAAAGTAATATCTATCTCTGGATCTAGACTCTAACACAGACACTTATTGCATCACGCGTAATTTGCTGTAGTATAGTTCGCTATGTAAGAAGAATATTGTCAAACGCTACGTATTTTCTCAATTTAAATAAAAATCTATCTCTGTGAACTATACTCTATCCTCCAAGAATCTTCACTTACAAACACTTACTGGACCCAGCTATACTCCTTCACACGCGAACAGAAAAGTTTCGTCTATAGCTCCTAGCCATCCGTTCAAATTTGCCAGCGTGCCTATCCAGAGGCACCGTGCGTTACGGTGGAAACGCGGCTTAAGACGGTACTGGAGGTACTTACTGGCAGATTCGGCGACGGCGAGGATGAGCAGAAGGCAGGCTAGGGTCGTCCCCGTGAGTCGAGGTGGATGCCCCATGACGTGCCCGTAGGAATGAAAGTCTCTGGTATGGTAGCACTGTCGCACAATATCAGCTGGGACACGATGCGGCCACGAGTGAACACCACAAAAGCACCGATGCTTTTCTTCGTGCGTGCTTTTATGCTCTCGCGACTCCCCTCCCGCGCCCGCCACTTGTCCCACCGGCTGCTGGACATTGGCATACGGTTCGTGTGTACTCTATTCATCACGCTGACACTGAGATAACGAGATCTCGAGGCGGGTCGCATAAGGTAGCAGACGAGTGAACGTCGGACAGAGCTGTCGGTTTCACAATCGTTCACCTGACGCGATCGATCCTGGTAATCCTTTGTGATCCACGGCCGATCGCTCTTCGTCATTCGTCGTCATGCGTAATTCCTTTAGTCATTTCGTCTTGTCAGTCGTTCGTTTAACGAGTAAGTTCTTTTTATTGCCCACCGAGGAGAGCAAGGATCCTAATGGCCGATTTAGGCGGCCTTGGCAGACTGTTTTCGGGGTCCAGGTGTATATTGGGATGGAATTTTATGACGTTCCAGGATGGAGGTATCGTATCTTTGTTTCGGGAGCAATTTCAGTGCTTTGGGGAGTTGTTGGATTGTCGAAGATAATTTGTATATGCTTCTTCGTGTTCTGAGTTCATTGTGAGCGTTAATTTTACGGTGAGAGCATATATGTAAATTTTTTAGTAAACATGGTAATGGAGAAATAGAAGTGATGTATAAGATTGTTGGAAATTTTGAATTTTTTGAGAGTGCTTCAGTGTTTTATTTATGATTAAATTTCCGAGGGATTTTGTTATTAGCGTGGAATTGATAAATATATATTGACACTGATAATATAGCAATGGCAATAGCGATATCGATCATTTTTATAATAATAGGAATTATTTAATTTCTTTCACTAGACAATTTCCTCTCATTCGTATTTCTTATAGGACATATAGTGACTTCAAATTTGGAATTAATTATATATACGTAAATTCTAACTCTCATCTACCTCTCACATTTTTAATTTCAAAATTGTCTCGTTTGTACCAATTTTATTTGGAATCTTTCGATTAACGATTATCCTTATCATTAAACGACTAATTTAAATTAATTCATAATTTTTATTAACACAGCAGGTTGAATAATAATTTCGAAAATACCGCAGACATAGTACCTAAGTAACTGAGCAAGTGAATAATTGATAGACTCGGCTGCGGGATTAGTTAATGCAGATAATATTCGAGAAGCTGTGATCCACTGATGGCCATCCAGTGGTCAGTGGCTTTGTTGCGCAGCAGTATAGTTTGTCACTTGAGTAATAGCGATGCATCGCTCATTCGAACCCTCTTGGTGATTAATTGTCTACTTTGACGAGCAGTGTGACAGAAGATTTCAATTTCTAGGTCTCCTAGGTATACTCCGTGCGTTTATATCACATTTCGGACAATGTGCGAAATAGAAGACGTATCGGTATGTGACATGGTCGTTAATGTGTCAAGATGTGGAGAAATTTGAAGAAAGACTTTTAGGCTAAGAAAAAGTTTCCCAAGTTCGTCGTATTTATTACGTGGTCTTTAGGATAGTGTTACGGAGAAGAATGGCTTCGAGAAAACGACGTGATTTATGATAAGGCCATTTCGAGCAGTGTACCACGACAGTGCAGACCCGGAACTTTTGGACAGCTGAAAAGCACGTGTACCCAAAGTAGAGTTAAATTTCATCTATTGTTTGAGGATGGAGATAGGAAAAGACAATATACCAAAGATAAAGGTAGAAAAGCAAGTGAGACAATTATATAAATGAATTGATAAATATTATAATCTTCTTTTTCTGGATCAAAATTTGGTTTCAAAATTCTTCCAAAAATCCGAAAATTAAAATTGCTGGTCGATGGAATCAGAAAATTGTCAACGTGTGAGAAACGAGATATTTTCATCTTAATATTTTCCATTGCTGATATGTGAAATATATATTGACAGATAGTTCTGTTAGAAATAATTTATTACCGAAGTAATTCTGTCGGTATATAATAACAATTTAAACCAAGGATCGTGTGAACAAAATTCCCTGTTCAATTTTCGTCACTTGTAAAAGAGCAGACTAGTTAATTTTCGTCTCTTAAGAACCATCGACAGCTGTACATTTGAGAGTAGTTAACACGAAATCACCAGGGGTTGGCTATTTTCGAAGGACGAATTTCCCAGGTCAAAAGATTCCACGGGAACACGGGTATTTCCTTCGACCTTTCCTCTTCTTGCAAAATTCCCTCTGATGCTGTACTCGCTCACTCGTCACTCCGCAGGATTCTTTTTCCCCTTTTTCCCTTTTTTTCCTTCCCGAAGAAAACCGAAACGTTGTAACGTGGACACCGAACGAGGTATAGACGTATATAGGGTGCAATTTTCCAGCGAGTTTCACTGTTTCGAGCGTAATTGCATTGCACCGTGACAGAGAAGCCCGAGGATCCTGTAGAGAACCTCGTTAACCTTCGGTTAAAAGGATCCGGTAGAAAGCGGACTTTTTGCATAATTCTATTTTAATTAATTTACCAAAGGCTCCGTTTAATATTATGTACCTTTTCTCCCGTGTTTCTTGCTTTCTCCTCTCTCCTCCTTTTTCCGCCTTTTCCCGGCAAAACGGACGTTCACCGTCTCCGCGTAATCTGCATGCATCGAGGCAAAATATGCAATTCAACCCCCAGCCTGACTGAAAAAATTTCGTCGAGATCGAGCTTTATACGCGTAATTGGACTTTAATTAATTTACCAAAGCTGCTATTCAACTTTCGCTTTTGCCTCGCCTTTTATTTCCCTCTGCTTTTTCCCTCACCGCAGCTCTGAAAAGAAATAATCACGGTAGCGTGGAATTTTGACATAGGTAGGAGAAAGGACGACGAATTTAACCTCGTTTAGCCGTGGAAGCTCGCGTAATACGCGTCCGGCGATACTAGCGCCGCCGGTACGCGTTACTCCTCATTTCTTTTCATCCTCACCCGTCGCTCTTTTCACCAAGGCTTTCATTCATCTTTCGCGCACGAGAGGCCAAAGGAATTTTGTTACTTAAGCGAGGCACACTGTCCACGTAATCTTATCGAAATTTAGATAATTTTTCCTATCCAAAAATATCTTTTATCTCACATTCGTTGAACTCCTATACATTTACGATTTCGCTAAATTCCTCGAACATTTTTATATAGTTCAACGAATACTTTTAACCGCAGAGATCGAGTGTTTAATCAAAATATCGCGAGATAAACGTTCCGAATTTAAATTCCGAAAATAAAAATTTCCAAATTTTCCATTTAAATTTCAATCGCATCTTTAATCAAAAATTAAACGAATTTCCCAGAATTTCAGCGGTTGTAATTAAAACTCATCGAGTTTCGAATCGGAAACTGGCTGGTAGAGTTATGCAAGTAGTTCAGAAATACCTTGTACACGCGACCAAAGTGAGTTCATTCTCCCGATGACCTCGGCTTCTTAATAATCGTCTTGTTCGGCTCATATCTTTCGATTTGTCGTTGATCGACGCGTTATTAATTATTCCGTTTCGCGGAATTTTCGTTGAAATGGGACAAGACTCATCGTTCTTCGGATGTATCAAATGTATTGCAGACTCAGTGTTTAACTCGATCGGAAATACAGATTGCAATGTGTCTCTTAGAAAGTCCCGAGAATTCGTCGCACATGTAAGATTTGGAAGAAAACAAGATTACTCGTAGCAATCTCGACTAATTTAGTGCGTGAAGATTGATGCGTAAACACGAGCGCAGATAATTCGACGGGAGACAGATAGAGGCAGATTTGAATGGAAAATTGTCAGTAAACGGATTAATCATCGGCCTACAGTTGCGGCTACGACAGCGTGGAAAGTAACACGGACTTTAACTGGCAAACACATCGCGATAACGCCATATTGTCAGGCTATTCGTTATCCCTCGATTGTCGAAGATTGACACAGTCGTGTTGCATCCTTTTTCATCGATTTATCGAAACGTGGGTCATTCTATAGGTCAAGATTTCATTGATGCATCTGTAATTCCTTAACTCAAACCGGGCCACGAGTTTATACGTTATTTCGACTTTTCTTTTCCCTTTTTTCCTGTTCTGTGACAAGAGATTTGCGTCTTCCTCTATCAAAGATGATAAAATAATGCGACATTCGAATCGTTGTACAGGTCAGGAATCGAATTGATCATTTCACTTTTCCCTTCGTGTTTCTTTCTTTATTTTTCAGTCTTACTTTTAGTTTTAGTCGTAGAATTATATACTACTTCGATCTATTCAGAATTTTTGCAATTTACAAATTTATTGTACCTTAAGTATCAATTAGTCACTTTGCTTTTCATTTTTAACTTTTAATACTCTTCTCATACTCTTCCTCATATTTTTCAATGCTCTCGTCTTTTGGTCATCCAGACCAAAACATAGTTACACTTAAGATAGCTCAAGTATCGATTAATTCCTTTCGTCGTTCCTTTTCGTCCATTCTTATCACCCTGTGACAGCGAGAGATACGTAAATACGTAAACAAGGAAATACAATAGATAGCGGACATTATGGAACACAACTACACGATTGTTCTCGAAACGACATGGAGTCGTGAAATTGGCAGAAATTGGCGACATTCGTGTTGTTTACAAGACTGGATTTGCTGATAAGGGTAAGAACTTAAATTCGCGTGACGCCATAGCAATTTTGTCCAATTGAAAAATGTCACCGCGCATAATCCGTGCTTTCCTATGCTGGTCGTCGCGTTATTAACATATCCCGGCTGCCGGATAGGGGCCCCTACCGGAAATGGATTGTTTGCCAAGCTTCGCGCCGCGCTCCGGCATCGTCGCTATCCAGAATATTGTTTTGATTATGCGCGTTTCGCGTGGCTTCCACAGAATCTCCCATAACCGACTATATGTCCCGTCCAATTGCCATTCAGCCGGTGAAACGTGTTCGCGAATGTTCCCCGATGCTGCGTTCGACTTCAATCGCGGATCGAAGTGACTGTTCGCGTTTAACAATTACAATTCCGAGTTTCGAAAATTTGCCACGGAAATTTGATCGAAATTTTAAAAATGAAAACCAGCAGCGTGCAG